GGGGGGGGAGGAAAAATCCAACTCTTGTGTAGCTTTCTTGTGTCTAGTTGAACCAGGATCGAGCTAGCTTCTACTTGAGCATTGGGCCCAGACCAACTTTAGTCATTGTTTCTTCTTGGCTCAATATCGTGTGATATGCTGGAAAATCCGAGTCGAGGAGAGCTCGAAAGATGAGACGTTCGGAAGAAAACGGGTCGAGATTTTGGTGGACAGGTTCGGTAGTCCAGACTTTAACAGGGGAATGGGTCGAGGGTACAGTAGTAGTCATTGTGGTGTGGATGATGTGAGAGTGGTGTGGTATGGTAAGTGGAAGGGTGGTTTGGCGAAGTGTGTTGATAAGCGGTTGGCGAAAGGATGGTTGGTGGACGGTAGGTTTGGTATGCGATGCCTTGGTGGGGTGGTGAAAACGAAATAGTCGGGAGAAAAGGGTGGTACTTATACTTTAAAACGCCAAAAAGGCGACGGCAGTTTTTAGCTGTGCCAAGCAGGCAACCATATTATTTTTAGCTATGCCAAAAAGGCAACTATGCTATTTTTAGCTATGCCAAAAAGGCAACCATGCTGCAAATTAGACTAGGCATCCAATCATTGAACCGAGTAGAAGTCATATTAGCATTATTGCATCAAGATCATAACTCTACACCTTATCTCTTTCATACTTTAACTTTGCCAATTATGTCTTCTGTATACCGTTACTCTCTGCGGGAAGAAGATAAACCTTTCGTGCTCATTCGATCAAATTTACCTTTGGGTATAAGGTATATCTGTACAGTAAAAGGGGGAACACTTGGCTCATTGTACGAGGGAACAAAAATAGCTTTATCAGATACCACTTAGCTTGGGGACTTCGTTGTTCCAGATTCTGATGGGGAATCCATTGGTAAGCTTATATTCATACCTACACCTTATACTACCTCCATTCTACACTTGTTTACTATAGGTTTTCAGGAACAATCGTACAGAAACACCTCCTACGTTATTATACTTGTTCAGCCACATACAAACCAACTATATAATCTTTCGATTAAGCACGATGCGACAAACAAGTGTATAAGGCGAACACCGTTAAACTTGAACACATAAAGGTTACTCTTATTTTTACAAAAAGGGTAAATATATTCATACGGTTATTTATAATTTTTATCTTTTATATATAAATACATAGTAATGTATTTATATATTCATACGGTTATTTATAATTTTTATCTTTTATATATAAATACATAGTAATGTATTTGATATGTTTGTTATAAATTAAATGTACTAATTTTTTAATTAAATGTATTAAAAATAAAATGTTTAGGCTATAAGTTCAAATCTTATATAAAGCATATTATTTAAATAATAGTATTTAGTTTATTATAAGAAGATAAGTTAAAAATGATATACAACTTAATAATTATTTATTTAATAGTTATGTTTAATGAAAATACAATTTAATTTAGGTTATTTAAGGTGTATTTAGTTATTTTAAAATCTATTATACATTTAAGGTGAATTAACTTATTTTAAGTTGTGTTTATACATTTAAGGTGAATTAGCTTATTTTAAGTTGTGTTTATACTTTTAAGTTGTGTTTGTATTGCTTATACAATATTTGTAAATATTAAGGTTTATTTACACAGTATCCTAAAATAAATTTATTTTTTAGGACCCCCTCTCTCTCAGAGAGAGGGGGTCCAAACAGCACTAAAAATGGGTATGCTGAAATTGGTAGACAGGTCCCGCTTAGGACGGGGTGAAATTAATTCATATAAGTTCGAGTCTTATTACCCATATATATTATAGTAACGTATTATTCTATAAAGTTTACATATTTTAATTTTTTTATATGTTGATCATTATTAATATGTAGTAGACTAATGGTAAGTCATAAATTTTTGGTATTTACTTATGGGTGTTCGAATCACCCCTACATAAAAAAGGTGGATATAGTTCAATTGGCAGAACAACTGTATGTGGCACAGTAAGTTCCCTGTTCGATTCAGGGTATCCTCCCAGTATTTTATATATAGGGTTGTTATTTAATGTGCTATATATGTTTATATGTGTTTATATACGTTTATACACGTTTATAAACTAATATTGTTTACCTATTCCATGTGATATAAAATATACTTATACCAACATAGTTTAGATAGGGAATATATTTGTTGTATATTATACAATAATAAGCCAGGATAGTTCAATCGGTAGAACATTAATTTCATGCATTAATAGTGGGAATTCAAATTTCTCTCCTGGCTCGCATAAATTACTTTATTTTGTGTTATCTTCTTTAAAAGAAGATACATTTCTTTTAATCATTTTTTTTTACAATTAACTTGTTATAAAATGTAACCATGTTACAATATAGTATAATTAATACCAGCTTATGTAAAATAGCATTACACAAATGTAAGAGCAATTAGGGGACTCACAACAAAACCCTCTTCGCTGCAAGCTAGTCTAGGGAGTACCCTATCACATATCATATTGGCTTTTGTCATTTTGGGATGCTGGGTTATTTTTTTCCCAGCAAAGCAGACCCAGTCTTCTTTTCTTCAGCT